ATTATTAAAAATATAACTGCCTTGATTTTCATAATAATTAAGTCTGATAACTAAATATATTTTACTATATTGTGTAGGGAAAAAAGTTCATTTCACAATGAATTGAATTTGCTACTATACTAAGCTCATTTCAGCATCAAATAAAATGAAAATATTCATTAAAAGGGGGTATTTTTATGTTACAGGAACTTAGTTGACCTAGTGATAATTGTCTGTGGCAAGCATATAGTTTAAAACGGACTATTCTGAATCAAAATACCTCATAAATAATAGTAACTATACGGCAAAAAAAATAACTCTGATAATTCGCAGAATAGCATAAGCTAAATCAAGAAACAAAGTAAAAATTATTTGTGCCCAGCCATAAGATTTAGAGAGAAGGGAGAAGTGTATTCGCTGTTACCAAAGAACCTTGGTAATAATCAGTGTTTTTTTAATGTGATCAACTTGTTTTTTCGGTATGATTAAAGAACTCAGCAAAACGCATGCGCACATATAGATAAGCATGAATTAATGTAAAAGGCACACAGAGGTTGTTGAGCCATCTATACTCTTGTCTGCTTTATCCAAATAAACCCCTCGATTGCTAGGAGAATTAGTTCTATCCCAATTGGGTCGCCTCTATCAACAAGCTATCAGTTTTATGAACAGTCAACAAATCAAAAGATTAATGCTTGCGTAGTTGCACCATCTTTTACTAATTAAATTGTTTTCAGGCACACATGAATATAAAAACATAACTTTAAATAAGCCAAATTAGGCCAAAACTTTTCATATTACTCTCTTATTCATGTTGAATGGATATAATTAAGGTCTTTTTCAATCTTTTTTGGAGTAAATATATTCCGAGAAAGTCTCCATGATCGAAAGGAGTGACCGATTGACTATATTATCGGGACTGAACGAGACATTACTGGGGCGTATTTGATCTGATCGGATCTGACTGTAAAACTTGGTTAGAGATGCCGTCAACGACTCTAAAGTTAGACACATTTCAGTATTCCAGGATCCCCTGACAAAATAAGTAATGCTTTTCTTAAACTAGATCTTCTCCCTTCTCCTTAAAAAAATGAGGAAAACGATAAGTAGATTTGAAGCTTATAAATTCGAAGGATAAAGAGAAAATAATAATTTACTTAATGTCTTTTTTGACTTTAACCATGAACCAAAAGAAGTGAGCATTAATGCAAAAGGTATGAAACATAGTTATATTTACTATGGCAATATACTAATTATTTTATAAGTAGTCTTATCAAAACAATCTTTAGATCTGCTATAAGAGCTATGTCCGGCCTATTTAGTTTAATATGATGAAAGACTGGTAGGCCGTAGACCATCACCTTTATCAACTTAACGAAAAAGATGAATACATCTCATATATATATAATCTGCTGGTAGTTCCGAAAACCTAAATATAGAGGAAAATGAGTAATCTAGTTGATTGCTATACCAAATACAGCCTCGCCTTATCGACAATCCTACCAAAGCATATGATATGGAAAAATGCCTGACTCTCCTTGAAATTCACATCTATCCTCTGGCCATAGACGCTCGTGAGAGTGTGGTGTCGTTGTTAAGGTGTCGAGATTATAAGTTGCACAATCATGGCTTGAGGTCTGCTGAGGGTGCAGATGAGACATAGGCGAGGTAGAAACTGCGGTCCACTGCAGCCTGGATGAGAATACCTTTTTGGAAATTTGATGGAAACGTAAGGTCTACACATATCATTGTGGGAAAATTTAAGTATGAAACTTTTGTCACCTTAATGAAATAGGGTGAAAACATTTTAACTATATAATTTACTGGTAGTCTCGAAAACCTACTTATAAACCAAAAACGTTTATATTGCCATTAGACTCGACTGCACTGTTAACATTCCAAGAATAAGGTTTTTGAGACTACCAGCAAATCTTGAAAAATAGTTCTTGCAATCGTAGCATGTCGAATTATACAATGAGCTATCCGGGTTCGGGATGTGAATACCAGTTTTGAAAACAAGACTAAGTGAAATTACTTTTTTCGTAAGTGAGTAGGATTTTGAGAATACCAGTAACTCAAATATATGAGGTGTATCAACCTATTTCGTTTAAGGGGATGATGGGCCACAATGATATGAGTAGGACCAACGTTTCCTTTATCACCTTAAACTAAATAGGGTGAATACAACTCATATATATGATTTACTGGTAGTCTCAAAAACCTACTCACTTACGAAAAAAGTAGTCGTCGATTGCTATAGCAAATATAAGTTTGCTTCATCGATAATCCCAACACAGAATGTGATATGAAAAATGCCTGACATTCCTTGAAATTCACATCTGCTCTGTGACCCAAGATCACTCGTGGCAATGTTGCGCAGTGGTTAACGTGTGGAGCTTACATGCTGCTCTGTCATGCTTCAACTCCCACTTGGGGTATTGACAAGGCTGATGCGAGGTCGAAACTGCAGCCCACTGGTGCCTGGAAGAGAGCAACTTTTGGGAAAGCAAAGCTCCGTGAAATTCCATGGAAACGTCAGCTCTACTCATATCATTATGGGAAAAATCAACTACTAGTCCTTCCTCGCCTTAAACGAAATAGGATGGAAAGTACTCATATAAGTGAGGGTATCTTGCATCGTGAGGCCTGTAAATCTCATTGTTTGAAAATCTAGTATCAGTCTCTAATCACCTTATGCAAGCTCGAGTAACTAGAAATTTAATTCAAGGTTTACTGTATGTCTAGAAAATCTACATTATTTGAAATAGGCCAGAAATTAAGCTTTCTCTCCCTTAACCCAGGCTTATTCCCCAAACACATCCTGGCACAAGGAATGATTCTGTCGAGGTTACCTAAAACTTTGCTATGATTACATCTTTTCTGCAACTTCATTACCACCTAATCTTGCTTGGGTGGAGTTGGCTAATTACTTGCCAGAAGATCTCTCTTCTGCACACCTCCTGTCACTTATTTTTGGGGGATACGCAGACAAGAAGAGGCTGAAGCAGACAGGACGAATAGCCAGTACAAATCACAAATGGGCTGGCCGAAAGATGAACTTTTGATCGGTCAAACAAATGGCCATGAGAGGCATCTAGCACAAATTCAGGCATTCAGACTTTGATGCAGTCGAATGGTCAGGACTCGATATAATCAGTCGGGCTGATAACTAGCTTTTACGGCTTGTCAGATGGCAGGAAATAAAGATCGTCTGGTTGTCCGACAGCCCAGAAAGGTACAGCAATCGGACAGGAAGCGTGGCAACTGGAAATTGGACAGCCTGACAATCGGACGGCGAGACGATTGGACAGTCATGAGATCACACGGTCTATCTGTAGCAGTGGAGGCAGTCGTTTTGGTCGTCAGACAAAGAGGTCTCAAAATGTCTGGAGATCTAGCCCTCGAATGGTGAGACAAGGACACACTCTCTTACGTCCCGAGGCTTGAAGAATCCGTGAATTTGGCAACATAGAAAAGTAGCCATGCACGCAATCAGTCGAAGGGGAATGTTGAGGATTTCGGATCTTTGCATTTAGCAGGAAATGTCTAGACATGCATTTGCGACAGGCTCGTCTCCGAGCTATCGCTGATTGCTGCTGTAGACGAATGGGGTTATATCTGTACCGGTTTCGTCATTATGGACAGGCATTCTCGTTCATTCTCCCACCTTTATAAAGCACCCGGAAGCACACTTCTTCCATTCTCGCGGTGTGTGATGGCAAAGAATCCCCATGTTGATGGATCTACACCAAAGGCTCCCTCGGGGACTCGGCTCTGGCGGAGGAGAGGATGGGTTCCCGTTCTCTTGTGCCTCCTTGCCGGCGTAGCGCTGGCTTTGCTCGAGGCACACCCAAGTCTCGGACAACTCACGAAGATGGATCGAGTCCTCAGTCTGCTGGAGGCGGCCCGAGTATTCGAGGCGCGCTGTACACGGCTGCAAACCAGCCTCATGATCCACTGGAATCCCTACCACGCGGTGGAGGTGAATCCGGCCTCGTCCACCTCGGCGTCGTCAGAAGAGGGGGATGGAGATAACGGCTTCGAGATTCGGCTCCGACGAGCCAGTGACGGCGCCATGGTGGACGGTTGGTACGAGCCGGGCCGAGTTTACATGCTCGAGGTGACCAATCGGTACCAGCTGGTTGGATTCCAGGACCTTGTACTGTGGTTGGCCCCAGCGCCACACCGCCAGGCAAGCAAGATGGGTGGCTCCATGATGGCGTCTATGGAGACCATGCCCGGCGCAGACGGAGTCCTGCATGGGATGTCGGCACTCGAACCCAAGGACATAATGGGCGCGATGAAGGAGATGAAGATGAGGGGAATCAACAAGGTAGGATCCTGCCACAACCCTCGCTTATCGTCAAGCATTACTCTCACATGTCCTAATTTGGGCACTCATTCCTCTCGCCTTGATCCTATGATCAGGAACAAAAAAGTGATCGAAAACTAAGTTAGTGGGGTTCCCGTTCTTAGTCAGCAGTATCGACATCATCCCGCTGATATTCCTGAAAAGCTAACCATCCCTGATCGCCTAAGGGCATCCAAGGCCTGAGAGTGGTGTCTTTCTCATAATCATTCCTGAACTCAGTCTAAGTGGGCCATGACGACTGAGTTGGTATATTCTATGAGAGTAGGCTTCGATGCTATGAGTAATATTTGAACAAGAGTTCCAGGCAGCCTAGGCCGAAAAATGTGATAAAGGACTGATAGTCTGATTCTCTCGTAATCATATGAATAGGCCTCCCGTTTATATTCAATTTCACATATTTTTAATCGAAGGTATGAAGACCAAGATGGTGTGGCCTTATGTGTGATCGCAGTCTCCTTTCGTTGTATAGAAGTTGCTTGACCTTGTTTTCACAAGTTGGTCATATTGGTAGGAAGACTTAGAGGAACGTACCTAGTCCGGAGACCATTGTCTGCATGATCATTTCCAAAGTTAAACCGTGGACGTGGTACATTCCCAAACGGTTCGCTCGGCATCGTCAGTGAGTATCGCCATTCTTGCACCATACAACAACTCGTCAAAAGAGACAAGTGAAGCCGATCCTTTGACCAAACGTGTGCTAAACAATTATGCTATCTCTCCTTCTTCCCTGAGTCATTCGACCTGGT